CAGTTTGCACTTATTTAGGACTATTCTGTGTACACCTTAGATCTTGGCCCGCCCTATTTGTGGGAGTCTTGCAGGGTTGGGTAGTTTGCCTCCTCTTTTAGCATGGGAGTTTCTCATGGATGAGAACTCTAAAATGAGGTTTTAAAAATGTATTTTACAGGACTTTGGAGGGAATAGTTGAGGTACTTTGTGTAAATTCCTGATAGCTGTTGTTGTGTGCTGTCGAGTTGATTCCGACTCATAGCAACCCTATAGGACAGGGTAGAACTGCCCCATAGGGTTTCCTAGGCTGTAAATCTTTATAGGAACAGATCGCTGGGACTCTTCTCCCTTGGAGCTGCCAACCTTTCAGTTAGCAGCCAAGCGCTTACTCAAAAAAGTATTAGCTATACCATCAGGTTTATAGCTTCCAAAGAGCAGAGGTTATGTTTTCATTTACTCTCATGACCTCCAGAGTGCCTAGGGAAGAGCTATGCACAGTCCTGACATGTTGTGGCAACCTCCTTCCCGCTTTCAGGTATACAGTGTTGACCCCAAAGCCTACAATGCCTCGGGGCTGCCGGTGAGAGTCGAGGTGGACATGGTGCGAGTGATGGAGGTGTTCCTGGCTCAGCTGCGGTGAGGCCCTGGGTGTTCCATTTGGGGGGCATGGCTACTGAGATTCTGACCACAGTCTCCTTGGCTCTAGAGGGGGAATTACAATCAGAATGAAATCTTCCCTGCCAAGGACACCTGGGCTGTGCCTAGAGCCACCAGGAAGCCAAGAAAGCTTTCCAAGAACTGCTTCATCCTTTTTCTAAGTAGGTCCAGTTGCTCACAAAACCCATTTTAAGAAAGGTAGACATGAATGTCAGGTCCATGAGTTACGATTAGTTGTGCTTCAGAAAATAGCTATTAATTCCTATGCTAACTGATCGATTGAGAGTGGCTGCTTGAAGCCCTGTGTGTCTGGGCACATCAGAAAAAGAGTATTCTCCTGATTGATTAGCAATGTCTGGCATGGGTGTAGGCCTAGAGAGGCATCGCACACATGCCTTTTTGTTAAAGATGGTCCTGGATCATCCCTTAACTCTAAGCCCCAGTGGCCCCATTTTTCCAAAGAGAGGGTAAGAAAGGGCAAGAGGGTTAAACTAAGTTGGTGTTATCAGAAATTTTTTAGCCATGGAATCTTTCTTCAAACAAGATCTTGGATGGCCAATATAGAAACAGGTGAAAGTGGAAACACTCGGGAGGGAAGCAGAGTTTGGGGCTCTAGATTTCTTGGTGTTGCTGCTCACTCTTCAAGACCCTGAGACACTTCCCCACAACCCCTATGGCTCTGGGTAAGACCGAAATCATTGACTTAGGGCAGATATTCCAGGAATCTTAGCCATCTTCTCCCACCTTCTGGTCTCAGCCACCTTGATCTTACTTGGCTATTCCTACAGGCTGCTCTTTGGGATTGCCCAGCCCCACGTGCCTCCAAAATGCCTGCTTTCAGGGCCTAAGAGTGAAGGGCTAATGAGCTGGGAGCTGGACCGGCTGCTCTGGGCTCGCTCAGTGGAGAACCTGGCCACGGCCACCACCACCCTCACCTCCCTGGCCCAGCTTCTGGGCAAGATCAGCAACATTGTCATCAAGGACAATGTGGCATCTGAGGTACGTGGGCAGGGACGGGTTTCTGTGGCCTAGAACTGGAGAGGTCAGGGTGTGGTGTGAGCCATCTGAGGTCCAGGGTGTGTGTGTGGGCATGCCATCCTTGAGTGCCCCAGGCTGCCTCTAGCAGGCAGTGCCAGCCCCAGGAGTCCAAATGGGAGTGTGAGGTTTCAAGGCGACCCTAAGAAATTTGCACATGGCCCTTTTATACTCCATTTATCTTGGGTAAACTCCAGGCAAACTCCCTTGTGGGCTGAGGGCACACTAAGGCCCAGCCCCCTCCCCACCATGCCTAGGACTTACTTTAACCCTCTACTCCTTTCCTAGGTTTACAGGGCAGTAGCTGCAGTCCAGAAGGCAGCAGAGGAGTTGGCCACCGGACACCTGGCCTCTGCCTTCCTTGCCAGCCAGAAAGCTGTGACATCCTCAGAGCGTGCCTTTTTTGACCCCTCACTCCTCCACCTCCTCTATTTTCCTGATGACCAGAAGTTTGCCATCTACATCCCACTTTTCCTGCCTATGGCTGTGCCCATCCTCCTATCTCTGTTCAAGATCTTTCTGGAGACCCGCAAGTCCTGGAAGAAGCCTGAGAAGATAGACTGAGCAGGGCAGCATCTCAGTAGGGACCCTTCCTTTCCGGCCAGGATGGTAGGTGTTAGATTGAGAGGCCTGTAAGTGGGGCCTGCTGGGAATGACCTGTATCCAGCCTCCTCTGTTGTCCGTCCCACAACCAAAGTACAGCAGTCCAAGATGGATTCATCTTCCCTTTCCATTCCCCTGGCTAAGGTCTCCCTGCTTCCCCCCCACCCCCATACTCCCAGGAGCCTCAGGGTGGCATCATCTGGGTCTCCTTATCTGGCCTGAACTTGAAGGTGCCTGACTACCTCCCTCTGGGGCAAGGACAGCTTGGACTTCTACCCTGTATCTCAATGTGGCATCCTTCTCTTGTTACCGAGAAGGCAGCATTAAGGAAAGCCCTGGTTGGATCCCTCTGCCTGCCATGGTTTTCTCTGACCCCTCAGGGAGAACCCCAGCACTGCTTTGCTGGAAGGCGCCAGGCACAGGTCACCTCTGGGACTCCTCCCTTACAGCTCTCCTTCCTAGCTAGCTACACACCTGTTGGGTACAGCCAGACAGGAGTCCAGAAGGCAGCAGCTCAGGACTTGGTACTGCGTGTGTGGCAGAGGCTTGGGCAGTGTGGTACAGTGGGGAAAATTCCAGACTTGGAATCAAACAGGCCTGAATTTTGTGCTTCTGCACTTAACATCTGATGAGCTTCCTCATTTGTTAAAATGGCACAATGGTACCTCCCTTAACAAGGTGGTTGTGAAGATTAGATGTGATAAATCACGTGAAAGTGTCTGGCATATACTAGGCATTCAATAAACATTGGTTGAATATGAATTGAAATGATATGAAGTATGGCCATACTTTTAATTCTTCCTTTATATGTAAGTAACAGTTTTCTGGTATCTGTCTTCCTGGGCTCACAGGTCCACCTCGCCTCTACCTGGCCATGTGCCCTTCCTGCCCCTCTGTCCTGTAGGGTCCTGTGGTAGCTAGACACCTGGGCTGTTGTCCCTCTGGGTGTCCTGGGTTGCCCAACAAGACTGTTAGCAGGGAGCTGAGAGAATAGCTTGTACCAGTGAAGGCCCTCAGATACTAACTCATTCATCAGTTCAACAAAGGAAAAGTTACTGAGCACTGGTCGCAGTGGACTTCTGCTAGGTGCTGGGGGCATAATAGGGAACAAAGCAGAGTCAACTTTCACTTAGGTGATCTTTGAGGGGGAAGAGACTGAGCAAATAAAAATGATTTCAGTAATGTATTAGAAAAAATGAGCTGATCGGTTAATGACTGGGTGTAAGGGGTGTACTTTAGATTGGATGTAAGGGATGGCTTTTGACATTTAAGGTGAGACCAAAAAAACAAGAAGAGGTTATGTGGGGAAGAGCATCCCAGGCAAAGACCCGGAGGCTGGAGCTTGCTTGATGACTCTAGGGGCAGTGAGAAGGGCACAGTGACAGGAGCGCAGGTGTAAGGAGGAGAGGTAGGCAGGACCTCCCTAAATTACCTGTGAGAAAATGAAGCCCAGGGCAAGCCCTCACCCTAGCCGGGATAAGAGCCCTGGTAGGCGGTGCCCACACCCTCGGCCCGGGTGGGCCCCGCCGCGTGGGCGGAGTCAGTGCCGGACCCACCCCAGAGGAAGGGCCGGGAGGCCCGGGGCGGAGCGGTACCTGGGGCCCCGGCCGGGGGCGGGGCTGCGGACTCTCCCCCTTTCCCAGCCTCCAGCTGGCTCAGGCGGTGGCGGCGGCAGCAGGCGAGCCTCGGGCCCGCGAGGCCATGAAGGTGAAGAAGGGCGGCGGCGGGGCCGGGACGGGGGCGGAGCCCGCTCTAGGGGCCTCGGGCCCGAGCGTGGAGCCCAAACCGGAGCCGAAGTCGCAGGCGGAATCTGAATCCGGGTCCGAGTCGGAGCCGGAGGCAGGCCCGGGGCCCAGGCCGGGGCCGCTGCGGAGGAAGCAGCGGATTGGGCCAGAGGACGTGCTGGGACTACAGCGGGTCACCGGCGGTGAGCACCGGCGAGGAGAGCTGCCCGCGGGCAGCAGGGAGGAGAGCGGGAGTGGGGCCCCTCTCGGCGCGCTGAGCCCGGCCCCCGCCCCCTTCCCGGCTCTCCCACCGCTTCCCCTCCCCCTTTTGGGTCCCCTCCCCTACGTTTACTCCCCTCCCTCATGCCTCCAAACCCGAGATCTCCATGGCCCCCCTTTCCTTATCTCCTGGGCACCCCTCTTCTCCCTTTTGAGATGTATTATTTTGGGGGGGTTCATCCTCTTTCCCATGGTGAAGGTGGGGCAGCAGCTGCAACTATGGCCCCTTCCCCGCGGAGTCCTCAGAGCCCCTTGAGGCCTATCTCTGCACTGACAAGGAGGGGGGTGAGTACAGTCTGTCCTCAGCCCCTGCCCCTGGAGGCTAGGTGGAGACTGAGCTGCTTAGGTGGCCTCAAGACTACTGAGGTCTCCCTGACCATTAATGCTGTCACCCTGGAGCCCCCCAGGAAGACTGGGGCCATCCCTCACCCCAGGAAAGTGAGCAGGAAGCGTCAATGGATTGCCTCTGGGTCCTGCCAGGGAGTGGGTTAATGCCCCTGAGCCTGGGCCAGGGTCTGTCCTCTTTCTGCTGCAGGACCTAGTCTCCACTGTGTTAAGAGTTTCTGAGCTGCACTGGCTGGATTTGAGCCCCAGCTTTGTCACGTAGTTGGCTACGTGAGCTTGGACAAGTAACCTCACCTCTCTGAGCGTGTCTTCATCTGTAAAATGTTCATAATAACACCTACCTCATAGAGTTATTGGGAATATAAAATGAACCTTCTGACGTTACACAGTGCCTGAAACACTGTGCTTTGTAAATAGGGCTCGTTTGTCAACAATACTGAGGGCACCACAGGCTGCTCGTGGCTGGAGGCAGACAACTGAGCATTCAGGCATTCAGGACGTCACTATGGGCAAGGGACAAGGGCTAGGGGACTTCATGGAGAGGAGGTGGCTGAGCCTGGAAGAGCGAGAGGCATTTGGGGAGGCAGTGGCTCTCCACTTTGGCTTCATTCATCAGCAGTCCTGCTCTGGCTCCCTCTGTGACAGCTACTGTTGGGGCCCTTTCTATAGGGTGGGGGACAGGCACAGGACTGGACCTGAGCCCTGAAGCTGCAGGAACAGCAGATCCTAGGGCTTCCAGACAGAGCTGTGGAGGGGACCATGATGACAGGCCTGGGCCTGTGCAACTGGGTCTCTGGTGGCCCAGCTCCTCCCTCCTCTCCAAGCCAGGCAGCAGCCATTCTTGGCTGGGCCCCGGGAAGGCTGAGCTCCTTTGCTCTAGCAGGCACTGGTAGAGGGAGGGAGTCTGGAGCAGGCTGATGTTGGTGCCAGTTGGGCTGCAGTTGGCAATGGTAGCATTTAGGCTTCAGCTTATCTCTGGAGCAGAACTTCCTCATACAATGTCAGGAGCTCGTGCTGACCTGTCTGAGTTCTGGGTAACTTTTGTAACCACAGGGACTTTCAACCCATGTCCTATGTCCCCTGTGTCTCCTCGTGTGGAAGAAATGTATGGCCTGTAGAGATGGGGCATCTGTGAGTAGGGGAAGCGGCTTCATGGGAGCTCTTTCCTTTGCAGAACTGAAAATGGTTTCAGGGCTCTCTGCCCTGGCACCCCCTGCCTGGTCCCTTCTGACCCTAATCACACAGGTCTGAGGTTTGCTGTTCCTGGCTTATCGGCCCTGAATCCAGCTTAGGAAACTATTTGTGGCTGAAGGGAAGAGAGGAGTTGTGCTATAAGCCCCACTCTGTCTTCTTGTTCTGGCCTGACCCTGGCACCAGGCCTCATCCCTCCCTGGCAGAAGGGAGGGAGTGGCTGTGCTGTTCTGAGCCATGGGCATCCCCCGCTCCTCACTTCCTTGAAGGATGGAGGGGTTGATAGATTGAGTTTGCAGTAGGAGAGACTGAGGTCAGACTGCAAGAAGTTGTTACAAGTGAAAAGAGAGGCCCCAGAAGTGGGAGAATGGGGAAGAAGAGAGGGCCTTACTGGGGGCTGGGAGTTGGGTAACTAGGATTCTGCTCCCAGCTCTGCCACCTCCTTTCCCTCTGCCCTGTGCCTTCTTTCTATATCTTTAGACTAGTGCTTTTTGTGAAGATAAGGTGTGCACAGAATGGGGGTAGGGACTGCCCACTTCCATCCCCTTCCTCTCTCCCCCTGGGCTATTGTGGACAGGCTAGGGCTCAGGCCCCTTCTCAAGCCTTGTGTAGTCCCTGCTGGGCCCCGAGGTGACAGATGGCTGCCAAGAGGACTTCCTGGAGTGGGCTACCCCAGGCTTGGGGAAGAGGCAAGCCTGGGAAAGAGAGAATGACTTTACATTCACTTCCTCTTCCTGCCCCAGGGGAATAGGAGGTGGCCCAGGGGCCTGGGGGGTGATTTCCGGGCCTCTATGGGCCTCTAGGGGAGGATGTGATGCTGGGCAGGCTGAAAGCACTGCGCCCCCTACTGCACCTCTCTGCTCCTCCCTATTTGTTGCCAGGGCCTCCGGAGCACTTCCAATTGCTGCTGCAAGAACAGTGATGGTCAGACCAGGCCCAGCCTATTCCTGTGCTTCCTCAGCAGGGCCCACCACTGCTCTTGGTTCCCCTTCTGGACCTGAGAACTCCCCTTACCCTCATCCACGCCCCTTGCCACACCTGTCATGCCCTCTTCCTGGCCTAGCTATGGGAGTGGGGGAGCACCCTTCTCTATGGGGGCTGGCTCAGAGCCAAGGCTCCATAGATGATCTTCAAGGGAGGTTCCCTCTGCTTGATAAGACTTCCTCCCATTTGGAGGTCAACAGAGAATGGGAGCAAAGTTGGCTCCCTTTCCCCCAATATCCCAGGCTCTGGGCTTGAGTCAGCAGAGCTTTGGCTAAGCTGCTTAAGGGAGCTGGGCTGCATAAGCTGCTTATGGGGAGAGGTGGGGGCTGAGGGCGGTGAAGAGGACTGGTGAAGGGGTTGTTCATTTGCCCCAGTGCCACTCATGTCAGAGAAAGTCCTCTCAAGATCAGCCCTTGCCAGACACATCTACATATAGTGCCAGGGGCAGCTGAGTGGGGTAGGGGGTCTTCCAGAGAAGGACTGTGTCTCTCCCAAGGCAGAGCTATGTCACCCCTTCAGACTGAGGTTCCCAAGGCAGGTCTGTGTCTTCCCATTTGTGCTGGGGGATCTACATCAGATTGGAGACCATTTGGCCCAAAGCCCCCCAGCCAACCCTGGTAGGGCAGAGACTGGAATAAAGACCTTCAACTTCAGGATAGGAGGGAAGACGTGGGGAAGCTGGCCATGTCCTCTACCCCTCTCTGCCCTGACCCTCCCTGACCCCCAGAGGCCACTAGGATGGAGCTGTTTATCCCTCATCAGATCCCAATGGCAGAGCTATATCTCTCCCATACTGTGGGGGCTCCCCCAGGACAGGGTCTCAATTGCCTCTTTCTGGAGGGCAATAGCCCTAGGGGTCAGAGAAAGTAGTAGCTAATCTGGGGTTCCCCAGAAGCTGAGCTGGCTGGAGGGGCTTCTGGGCAGGCTCCTGCCTTGCTCAGTTGCCTGTCTCTCCTAGACTACCTGTGCTCCCCTGAGGAGAATATCTACAAGATTGACTTCGTCAGGTTCAAGATTCGGGACATGGACTCAGGCACTGTCCTTTTTGAAATCAAGAAGCCCCCAGCCTCAGGTGAGCCATCAGGGCGGGAGGTGGGCGATTGATGGAGGAGGCTGCCCAGGGAATCTTCAGGCCACAAAGCAGTCAGAGCAGAGCTGGGGTTTGGACCTCAGCCTTCTTTGGGGTCTCCAGGCAAGGAGGCCTCTGCCTGGGGCTGGGTCTCCTTTTCCTTCTCATCTGTCTCTGGAGTTGGCATCTTGGGAGGCCTGGCCTGCCCCCTGCAGGCCTCCCTGGGAATGGTGACTGCCGAGGCTTCTGTGCTCCCTGTGGCCCTGGGAGCCACTGTGGAAACTGGTGACCTGCTGACCTTTCTAAGTGAAAGGGCCATTCAGCCAGTGGTTTTGAACCCTCGCTGTGCATCAGAATCTCCTGGCGAGATTTTAAAAAATACAAACAGATGGGGGCCTTTGGGGGGATCTCTGGGCGGGCAAGGGCCCCAGCCTGAAGCCCACTGAGCCCCAGCTGGGGTGCATTGCAGAGCGGTTGCCCATCAACTGGCGGGACCTGGACCCCAATGCTGGGCGCTTTGTCCGCTACCAGTTCACCCCTGCCTTCCTCCGCCTGAGGCAGGTGGGAGCCACGTGAGTCACTGGGCCGTGAGTCACTGGGCTGGGGCAAGGGCTGGGGGCGAGGGCGAGGGTGGGAGTGAGTCCTTCCTGAGTTCTTCCTGAGCCTCTCTAAAGGGCGGTCTGTCCTGAGCCCCTCTGGCTGACTTCCAGGCCAGGGTCAGCCCTGTCGCCTTCTCTTGCTCAGAGTGGAGTTCACAGTGGGAGACAAGCCGGTCAACAACTTCCGCATGATTGAGAGGCACTACTTCCGCAACCAGCTACTCAAAAGCTTTGACTTCCACTTTGGCTTCTGCATCCCCAGCAGCAAGAACACCTGCGAGCACATCTACGACTTCCCCCCACTCTCGGAGGAGCTGAGTGCGTGGGCAGGGCCTCACGAGCGTGGGGCGGGGGCACAGACCAAGCTGACAGAGGGTGGGGGTGCGTATGGGTTGACCCTCCCTTTTCTCCCACCCTGTCTCTTTTGTCTCCAGTGACACCATATGCCCTGGTCACCATTCCTATGTCACCTATAGGGAAACGGGGGCTCAAAGAGGCTGGGGAAACTCTGGGGTCATTCAGCTTACGCCACCCCACTCCAGTCCTGAAGCCCGTTTATTGGCCTGGCTCAGGCTTCTGACGTTTTCCTGGCCTGACGGGGCCTCTTTTTCAGTCAGCGATATGATCCGTCACCCGTACGAAACGCAGTCTGACAGCTTCTACTTCGTGGATGACCGGCTGGTGATGCACAATAAAGCTGACTATTCCTACAGTGGGACGCCCTGACCACACACTGCCCCCAGCCCCAGGAGGCTCTGGACCTGGGCCCTGAGCCATGGCCTCCCCAACACTCACCTCTCAACCCCGGGTCTTCTGCTTGAGGAGTGCTCCAGGGCCCTCCACCCTGAATCAGTGTTGGGAGGGAGGGTGACTGATGTCCTCAGTCCAAGCCTCATGAAGTCCATGGGGTGGGTGGTAGGGGGGCTGTTTGCCTCCATGTCCAATAAGGCCTCCTATGAGAGGAACAACCAGGACTTCCGACAGCATAGGTGGGCCCTCTTGGGCCCAAGTTTCAGAATAGTGCTCCCCTACCCAGGCTGTGACTAAGTCAGAGCAGGGATCCCTCTGCCCTGACTGCCACCTCACAGACAAAGATCCTTGGTGGGGTCTGGCTTCCAGACTTCCCAATGGAGTCTGGGCCCTGGCCCCAGCCACCACCATCAGGGGCTGAGACACTGCCTGAGGTGTGGGAGGCACCAGTTGCAGCCTGTGTAGGGGCTGGACCAGCTGTATATAGTTTTCAATAAACTTTTTCCTTTTCTCTTCTCTCGTTGTGGGCCCACGTGCAGTGGCGGTAGGGAGTGGACAGGCAGTAAGGTGCTCAAGGTACTAAAAATCTTCCTCCCAGTGCCCTCAGACCCCTGAGTCCTCCTGTCCCCTGATCCTCTGCACCTTGACTCCACACTTGGCGTCTAGAGTCAGCATTTACATGCTGGAGCTGGAAAGGGTTTTTCCTTTGATCAAGAAGGCCCGCTAGTCAGGAGGGTTTGGTCCCAAAGTCACTGCCAACCCTGGCAGAGCAGAGGCTGGAACAAGGGCCTCAGCTCCAGGGTGGGAGGGAAGTGGTGGTAGGGGGAGGTGGGGAGGTGGCCTTGTCCTCCACCCCACTCTCCCTGGCCCCCAGAGGCCACTAGGACCACTGGGTTGTGCTTTTAGTCATTAGAGGGAATGTGGTCAGGGCTTTGGCTAAGGCCTGGAGCTGTCTCCTGTCCTCAGCTGCCTTGGAGAGCTCCCTGGCCTGTCCTTGGCTCCGTCCTGACCCCAGATCCAGAGGAGGGACACTTAGGAGGGATTTCAGGAGCTGAGGCAGGTGGAGAGCTCACCTCACCTTACTGTACCAGGGACTCTGGATACACCCAGTGTTAGCCCACCCTTGGCTGAGGAGTTAACTTTCAGAGGACTGGAAATGCTGGAATTCAGTTGAGATCCGTGGAGGCCCTGCTGGGTGCCAGGACTGAGCTGAACTCGGAATTCTAGAATGTGTGAGACACGGAGCAAATTCTTGTCCCTAGGATGTGATGGACTGAGTATACAAGGGAGGGAGACTTGTGCTTGGGGAGTGTTGGGAAGGCTTCTTGGAGGAGGCAGCACTGCGGCTGGGGCTTGAAAAATCAGGACTTTGATGAGAAGAGATGAGGGAGAGAATGTTAGACATAGAAAAGAGCATAAGCAAAGGCTTAGAGGCAAGATATGTCAGGTATAGTCAAGAAAGAATGGATATTTATGACCTGAAAGGAGAATGGATCTGTAGAGCCTTATGGCTTGAGTACTGGTGCTTCTGGGGAAGGTGGGAGCCACTGAGGAGGTTTAAGCAGGATTTACCTGGTCAGATTATTTCTGGCTGCCATGTGGAGGTGGATTGAAGAAGATGAGACGAATAATAGCCAGCATATACAGAGTGCTTTACATGTGTTGCAAATGGTTGACGCACTTGGCTGCTGACCGAAAGGCTGGAGGTTTGAGTCCACCCAGAGGCACCTCAGAAGAAAGGCCTGGTGATGTACTTCTGAAAAATCAGCCACTGAAAACCCTATACATATGGGGTCACCATGAGGTGGAATCAACTTGACAGCAACTGGTTTTTTGTTTTCACATGCCTTAACTCATAAAATGCTCACAATCATTTCTGAGAAAGGCACTTTTATGCCCATTTTATGTAAAATTCAGGCCCAGAGAGGTTAACTTCCTCAGCCAAGGTTGCACAGCTGTTAAGTGTCAGTGTTAGAATTCGAATACAGGTAGTCTGGCTCCAGAGTCCAGGCACTAAACACCCTAGAGGCATGAGGGCAGTGAGGCAGCTGTTGCAGGAATCTAGGTGAGAGATGAAAGGGACCTGAATTAGGTCAATATCCGTGGAAACAGACATTGATGAAGTTGAGATTTTTAAGAGGTGGAGGCCCCAGGAGTGATTAGATGAGGGCGTTGGGGAGAGGGATTCAGTTGAGGCTGAATCCCTGGTTTGTGGCCTGGGTATTGGGGTAGCTGGGAGTGCCATCATGGGGCTTGGGGATCAGGTTAGGTCCGAGTGGGAGCTAGCAGGAGAGGACAAGCTCAGGTTGGGACTTGCTGTGGTATGGCCCAGATGTCCTGGAGGAGATGACCAACATGAGACAGGAAATTTGGGCCCTGAAATCAGGAGGGGGCTGAGGGCTGAGATGGTGATATATTGACCACAAGGTGATTGCTGAAGCTGTGACAGGGACAGATTATTGTGATCCCCAGCTGGCATTTAGTGAGCAGGGGGCAGGAATGCCAAATGTCCTGCAATGCATGGGACACTCCCGACCAATGCTAATAGTGCCCCCTCCTGGGGAGGTGGTCACTGAATGAGAGCATGTAAGCCTAGGGAAGGCCAGCGTTTGAGAGCAGGGCAGAGCGAGAGGAACCAGTGATGAAGACTGCAGGATCAGCCAGAGAGGCGGGAGGAGAGGCCTGTATTGGAGGGATTGACTCGCAGTGGGGTTTTTTTTTGGTTTATGTTAGAAGCTAAGGGAAGAACGCATTTCGCCGTGCAAGTGGTCAGCAACTGTCAGTTGCCACGGAGGTGAGGGAGGGGCATGTGGGCGGGAGGGGGGATTGGCTTGGAGATGAGGCTGTATAGGAACACAGGTATAATGTTTGGTTGTAGATGTGGTGCAAGCCTGCAGAGAAGCTGTAGTGAGGAGGAGGGGCTGTGAAGCCTACACGGGAATCAAGAAGAGGCCCCTCCCCCACTGCCCTGATAACAATCCTCAATACAGCTGTTGAGTAGAGCTGGGTTGAAGTTCTACCCCCAGGCAAGGAGAGAGGCCCTGTTTTAAGTCCTGTCCCTGGAGCCAGTGCTAGGTTTGAACTCACTGAGGAGAGGCCTGTGTCCCTCGGGCCTGGAGGAAGCCCAGCTGAGAAAGGCCTTGGTCCCCTGCCTCCTTTTAAGCGTCCATGCCTCTGGCACTGGTCCTGCTGTTAACTGTGCAACTTGCTGCAGTTGGTTCCTGACATTATCCCTAGGAACCTAGAGGATCCCTGGGCAGTAGAAGGAGGGAGAAGACAGGGTGGGGGTGGGGCTCCTCCGGGCTCCGATGCTGATGAGCGGTTGGCCTTGAAGGAACAAATTCCTGGACAGCTCGGGACCTCAGATTCTGTCTCTGAAGTGGGCCAGTCATTATAGCATTGACCCCTCAGGGGTGTTAATGAGGACCCCACCTCTGGGTACAACAGGAAAACCCAAATACTACAGGGAAATCCACGGTTCATGCCCACTCCAGGCTGACCTGCAGGGTGCACAGTGGGGCTGCCAAACCAGTGGTTGAAGAATGGCAATGCTTCCCATCCATTTATGAAGAGCTGCTTTCCCAGCGCCTGAGCACCCCTCTCCTCAGCCTGGCCTCTCCCCTAAGAGCCGCGCTCCACATCCCCACCATCTGGCAGCTAGAACAAGGCCGCTTTACCTCTTAGTGTGGTGTGTGGACCTTCACTGGCAGTCTGCTGAAGCCTGTGGACTCTACAAAGTTGTTTTTATTTATTTATTTATTTTTAATACCGGTTTACAGAAAACATGGGCAATAGAGGAACAGGGTAGCCGATTTTCAACAGCTTGCCTTGCAAACTTAATATAGTATCCAATTAAGCTGATCCCAGGAAGGCTAAACTATCAATAATAGAATACTTTCCCAATGTAAGGAGGCACTCATGTACTTACTACTGCTCTCTTTGCCAAAGTGGCAGCTTGTTCCAAACCTACGTGCTTGAGCATTGCTTGACATTTTGAGTGCAGCATCCTTTTCCTTAATTATGTCTCTGCTTGTACTGTTTTACCTGACTGAATATTCACACACCTGAATTAACTGCCTTCCCCAAGACAAAATAGAACCAAGATTAGTCTTCCTAATCATGATACAGTGACAAGAAGTTCAAGCACATGCCTAGAGTTGGTAAAACAAACAAAAAACCCAAACCAGTTGCGGTTGAATTGATTCCAACTCATGGTGATCCCATGTGTGTCAGAGTAGAACTGTGCTCCATAGGGTTTTCAAGAGCTGATTTTTGGGAATTAGATTGCCAGGCCTTTCTTCTGAGGTGCCTCTGAGTGGACTTCAACCTCCTTTCAGCTGAGTTGGTGGGAGGAGCTTTATTCTGAGATCTGCATAAAACTTGATGAACCTGGCAACAAAAGTTAGTATATTGGTGGTAGCCAATGTTGTAGGATTTGTGAGTTGTTTTTTTTTTTTAGCTTAAAAATAGTTGAAACTATAAAAAACGAAGTCTAAATGGAGTGTTTGGAGCACCTTTTAGGTTTTGTGGAACACAGTTTGATAGCTGCTGCTGTAGTGGACAGAGTAAGTTGTGGTGTTACAGAGATTGAGATTCACAATTTGGGTTTGTGACTTACTGAAGGTCTTTGTGCAAATTGCCTCAACTTTCTGAGTCTTGCTTTCACTATGTGTTAAGATGGGTGAATTACAATTTACTTTTCATTGTTGCTATGAGGTTTAAATGAGATGAGTTTTGTGAAAGTACATAGGACAGAGACTGGTACACAATAGGCTATGGAAAAGGGTTCCTTTCTCTTAAAGCATGACCAGGCACCCGGTCAGAATCGTTTGGAGAATGTTTCTCTTCAGTTTGTGTACCCAACAGACCTCTCAGATCTCAAATTCAGATGTGCAAGAAGTATATATTTTCTTTAGTCAATCTAACCTCTGACTCCCACTCTACCATTTTGGTGGAAAATTAAACCTGTCTTGGCACTTGCTTCACCTCCTGGTTACCCAGTTTCTTGGCCTTCTCTTGGGGCACCAGAAGACCCTCCATTCCTCAGTTATCTGGTGTCTGAGAAGACACTCACTGTCCCAGCCAATCTGCTTCTCTGAGGTTGGGTCCTGGGCCTCCCATTCCCTCTAGATCCTGCCATGTTCTAGAGCTTTGATGCCTCTGCTCATGAGGACCACTGACCTCTTTTGCTGCCTAGGAGATCCTGTTTTTGCTCTGGGAGAAATCCCTCACACTTCAAACTCTTTCCTTAATTTACTTACTCTTCCTTTTCCATCAAATTCTCTTTTCCTCAATGTTCTTAGTTTTCTAACCCCACAAACCACAGGGATAAGAAAAAGGACTCCTGGGCAGGCACAGCACTGTGGTCATACTCTTTGGTGAGCAGATGACACCTTTGGGTGAAGAAAAACTCACCCCTTTCTCTGAACAGATGCATCCCCATCCCGAGGACATGCAGTTTGGCAAAGCTCC